CATGGAGCAATTGTATGTAAGAGTGTCATCATCTCGTACACTTTTTTTTTTGGATGAAATTTGAAAATAAGAAAATGCATTGTATGAGAATGAGAAAATTTGAAAATAAGGAAATTTGAAAATAAGAAAATTTGAAAATAAGAAAATTTGAAAATAAGAAAATGCATGTATGAGAATGAGTGAACCTAAAATACAAGTCTACCCCTCCCCAAGCTTAAAGATAAGCATCGTCCCGATGCTTGGAGAGGGTGGAACAACCTAAAACGGAGGTGGAGGAGGAGGATAGTAGCTGGGGTTTCGGGTCCAAGCCCAGAAGTCCTCCTCATGTTTGCGTTGACGCTCTTGATCCCGAGCGTACTGGGTGGTGAAGGTGGAAAAATTCTGGGTCAGGCTGGTAATATCCTGCTGATAGGTGTCGAGGCGGGTATGGATTGATTGGAATTCGTCCATATATTGTTGATGATAAGGCGGGGGTGCAGCAAAACGGGATGAGCTGCCACCACCGGTGGGAGAAGCATGGTGAGGCTCCTCCTCTTCTTCATCATCATCACCTTCTTCCTCGTTTTCTTCGCTTTGCTCATCGACCTCGGTGGAATAAGAGTGGGGGAAGATGTATGGAATGATTTGCCAATCAGTCATATGAATGGGATTTCGGAAATCAAGAATGCCTTTATTTTCTGGTGTGATGAGGAGCTTGGGATCATGATTTTGACCCACGGTCCATGGTGTGTACCATCGCCTGCCGAGCGGAAGAGTCGCATGGACTCAAGGATAGCAGTGGTGAGATAAGGCTCACCCGGCAGTGGCTGGTGGGGACCGGGGTATGGGGCTCGGATGTGGGCGCTCTTGGCGAGCATGCTGACAATACCCCCGCAAACAATCTTTCCTGATCGGGATGCGCTAAGGCGGATGAGCTTGTGGCACAGAAACCGACCATAATGAGGAATGAGGTTATTCTCGGGATGGGTCATTGCATAAAGGATTTTAAGTTCCAGCGCGCTAATGGTGCTTCGCTCCTCTCTAGGGGCGACGAGCGAAGCAATGATTCTGTGAGCTACCTTAATCACAGGATGGATAAGTGATGAGGCTTTAGCAGCGCTAGAGACATATGGATGTAATTGGGTGAGCTGGGTCCACCAAGTCATGTCATAGTATCCTTGGATTGGATCAGTGGGGCCAAATGTGTTTTCCGTTGGGGCCCCCACAATGGCATTGATTTGATCCAAGGAGATCTCATAGTCTTGATTCATTAGACGGAAGTAGAGGATCCCATGATCTAAATAAACTGAGGATAGAAACTCAGCAGTTGGGACTTTATAGCTCAATTCATGGACCCTCAACAAGCCGTGCCACCCTATGTTGCGAAACAGGGTTTTGACTTGATTGTAAACATGCAACTCTTTCAAAGTTGGAACATGCGCGAATTTTTGGATGGCATGACCTCGTTTAAGGAATGACTCAAGTTTGCCCTGTTGAACTGGGCCAAGACATACGACACCAAAATGAGACGGGTCGGCTGGGGGTGTTGGGGACCTAGATGGAGGTGAGGAGATCTGGATGGAGGTGATGGAGATCTAGGCTTCCGACGGCGGGCGGATGATTTGGTTTGTCTTGGTCTTTTGGAAGATGTAGCTTCCATAGTCAAGTTTGGGACAGATTAAAAGTCAACGGGTCAAAATGTCAAAAAGTCAACTGTTGACGGGTCCAGTCAACTTTGAACTTGGCCACCAAAATTTCGCGGGAAATTTGGTTTTCAAAGATTTCCAACTAAGAATCAAGTCCAAATAGACCACACTTTCAAGTATTTGACTCAAGAACACAAAATTCAAAGGTTAGGAGTTGGAAAGAATTTACCGAATCGTGTGTTGGATCGTGTTGTTCTTGATGGAAAAGATCTTCTTAACCTCCCCAAGCTTGCCCTTTCAAGATTGAGACACTAAAACACCAAAATCAAGTGAGAATTTTCGGATCTAGGGTTTGTCAAAACCCCCAAATCCACCATTAAAATGCAAGAAAATGGTGTTTAAGATGGAGAAGATGAAGTGTAGATGATGAAAATCAAACCTTTTTGTAGATGAAAGTCAAAATCTTGAAGAAATTGAAAGGTATTTGATGAAAATCGGACCTAAGGTTTTTGTTGGGAGAGAGGGGCTGTTAGGAAGTGAAAGTGGGGATAAATGAGGTCAAGTCCCGATTTTTTTCTTTAAAAAGGGTCTGAACTGCTGCGCGAACACGACCCGTGTCTCCCCAGGCTAAATTGACACGCCCCGTGTTGGGGGGGTTTATGCTGCGTTATGTACGAACACGACCCGTGTTGGGTCAAGGCCAAAAACAACACGACCCGTGTTGCTCTCTGGAAGATTTTGGGATTTTTTTGGACTAACACGACCCGTGTCATTTGCAGGCCAAAATGGGACACGACCCGTGTTGCTCTCTGGAAGATTTGGGACTTTTTTGCTAACACGACCCGTGTTTCAGGCAAAGGGACACGACCCGTGTTGGTCCTGGATGCTAATCCCCACTTTTTGAATTTGAAAATTTCCCTCTCTCGGAAATGAAGTACTTTTGCATTCCTAGGTCCGTTTGGTGATTTTAAATCATGATTGAATGCATTTGGAACATTGAAAACCAAAAACTCAAAGAAATGGAAATTGTTTTTAAGTAAAAGACAGAAATACCCCCGGGTTGTCTCCCGGTTAGCCGCCCTTGTTTCAAGTCGTTGGCTCGACTTTGCCCCCACAAATGCTTCGTTCTAAGTATTTGGGCCTCTCCAACACATCAATCTTCTTGCCACCTCCTTCAACGGAACCTTCAACCTTCCTTTGGCTTTCTTTTTGCGCATAAACCAAAAAGGACTTAACCCTTTTATATCAGAGATTGTCCACACCATCCTTTTTTGGTATTTGTTCAGCATGGTTATCAACTCACTCTCTTCCTTCTTTGATAATTTATTTGAGTTGATGACCGGTTGAGTGCTCTCCTTCTCGACATGTATTTGCTTTATAGGGCCCAGTGGAGTTTTTGCTCTCAAATCTTGTGCTTGTTCCACCGGTGGAAGGAATTTGGCTTTAGTGGTGGGTGACTCTACTTCTCTTCCATCAATCCACACGTGCTTATCATCCTTGAATTTCAAAATCTCCAGCACCTCCTCGTTTGTACCGCACTCCTTTGCAAGTTCTTCGGCTTTGTACCTGTCTAATTTTTGTGACAAGACTAACTCCACAAAATCATTGTTAGTCGAGTTTAAGCTCTTTTCAGCCAATGGCTGGATCATATTCACAAAATTAACAGATTGAACATCAGAAGGAACCTTTTTTTCTTCATGAACATTGAAGTTGATAACTTCACCGTCAAATTCCATACTTAAAGTTCCATTGTAGACATCAATTTTTGTTTTAGAAGTTTTAAGAAAAGGTCTACCCAAAAGTATGGAACTTGAACTTGGAGAGTCATCATCTCCCATATCTAAGACATAAAAATCAGCCGGGAAGATAAATTCATCGACTTGCACTAACACATCCTCTAGTACACCCTTTGGGTGTACCAAAGACCGGTCGGCAAGTTGGATGATCACACCGGTTTTGCTCAATGTTCCTACACCAATTGATTTGAAGAGAGAATATGGTAGGACATTTACGGATGCACCTAGATCGAGCATGGCTCGAGGTACATGAAGATTCCCCAATTTGCAAGGTATGGTAAATACACCGGGATCCTTACACTTAGGGGGCATCCTCTTTTGCAAAACCGCGGATACATGCTCCCCAACTGTTACCACTTGATTTCCTTTTAATTTCTTTTTAGATACACAAAGATCCTTAAGGAACCTTGCATATCTAGGTACCTGCTTGATGGCCTCGAGGAGTGGAATGTTGATTTGAACTCTCTTGAACATTTGCATGATCTCACTCTCCTCCCGTTCTTTCTTCGTGCTCCTTAATCTTTCGGGAAATGGAGCAGGTGTGGCTTTAGACTCAGTGATGAAGGGCTTCTTTTTTACTGTTTTCTCTTCCTTCTTCTCTTCTTTGGTTGCTTCTTCGACCACTATTTCTTCTTTCTTTTGATCAACCGGCACTTTTGGACCATCATAGCTCTTTCCGCCTCTCAATGTGATGGCACACACATTGTGCCTTGGGTTTGTTTCAGTTTGTGCAGGTAACTTTCCTTGAGATTCTAATTTGCTTACAGAAGTGGCAAGTTGTGAAACTTGTTTCTCTAAGTTCGTTATGCTTGCTTTTGTCTCTTGTTGGAAAGCTTGTGTACTAGTTGCCAAACTCTTTACTATGTCCTCTAAGGACATACTTGATGAACCCGATTGTTGAGGAGGGTGTTGTGGCTGCCTTGGCTGGAAGTTTTGTGGTGGAAAAGGTGGTCTTTGCTGGTATTGATGTGGTTGACTTGGTTGATTATTTTTTTGTTGATGTCCTCCCCAACCTTGATTGTTACTCCATCTTTGATCACCCCGTGGCTGCTCATATCCCCTTTGATTAGACCCAAGAAAACCTCCCATGACTTTTGCTTCTTCATAATCTTCCTCTTGGAGTTGTGGGCACATATCAGTTGGATGCCCCACTTGGGTGCAAATACCGCACGGGCGGGGTGTGGACTGCACACCTTTGTCTTTGGCCAACATCATGACTACTTTCGTGAGCTCGGACAACTGAGCTTCAATCTGAGGAGTTTGTACTTCTTTTACACCTCGGGGTGCATCCGTGTACCATTCTTCATCATGGCTTGAATGTTTGGAATCTTCAGCCATGTTCTTGATTAGATTTCGGATCTCAGTTGGGGTTTTATCGGGCAAAGATCCACCACTAGAGGCGTTAAGAAGCCTTCTTTCCATTGGAGTCATTCCTTCAATGAAATATTGAAGGAGTTGGTATTCGGTAATCCCATGCTTTGGGCATCGAGCACAAAGTTTCTTGAATCGATCCCAATATGCATGAAAAGCTTCTCTCTTGTGCTGCTTGATTCCAATGATTTCCCTCCGTAGGGCGGAAGCTTTCATCTCGGGAAAGTACTTATCCAAAAACAACCTTGCAAGATCTACCCAAGTAGTTACCGTCCCCGGTGGGAGGTCATAAAGCCAGTCTTTGGCTGCATCTTGCACCGCAAAGGGGAATGCCCTAAGCTTGATTTGGTCCTCCGTGACATTGTGTGGTTTCATACCCACACATACTACATGGAACTCGGTGAGGAACTTGTGAGGATCTTCGTTCTCCAATCCTCTAAAAGTTGGGAGTAAATGGATAAGCCCGGATTTTAGTTCCAAGTTGGTGGCGGCTGGGTATGTGATGCAAAGAGGTTGTTGAGTCACCTCTTGTCTTGACCATTGGCGGAGGGTTTGTTCGGGTGGTGGGTTTGGAGGCGGATTTCCTCCAGGGATGTCTGCCATGGCTTGAGAAGTGGGTGATGTTTCTGTAGGCGAAGTGTTTAGGATATTATGAATAGGTGAAGAAGGTGAAGTGGTATTGTTGGGTGAAGATGGTTGTGATGAGAGTGAGAGACTTTCTGTTTCTGATGTGGATACACTTGAGAGGGGTATGTCCTCCCAAATGTTGATGACCGAGGGAGTAGATGATGAAGAAGTCCCGGAACCCGGTTGCCTCTTACGAAGATTGGCTTGCTTCCTTAACTTCTTTGCAGTCTTCTCTATTTCCGAATCAATTGGCAATGGTGTACCTGTACGAAAAGATCTAGGCATAAACAATTAGTAACACCTTGTCCCCGGCAACGGCGCCAATTTGTTAGGGTGTCAAACCCAACAAATAAAGGGGTACGATATACTCCAAAATAATCCCACTATATTGCACTAAAAGGTAGTACAAGGTAAGCAGGGTCGATCCACAGAGACACAGGACAATTAGTCTATACCTCTTTGCACAAGGTACTATAGTCACCAATAGTAAAAAGAGAGGGGGGTTTAGAATGTAATGATTAAACAAACAATTAAAAACATAAGCAATCAATTAAGTGCGTGAATTAAGTTCAGAATTTGTGAGGACTCCAACTCCATGTATGACAATTTAGCAATGTGACTCCAAGATGACACAATATTCGTTCAATTCTATCTAAGTTGGTACTTGAAAGTGCTAATAAGCTCTAACACTTCCCATTCACCATATTAATTAACCAAAACAAGCTCTTTGATTAATCCTAACCTTATTAACCTAATCTAAACAAGCTCTTAGGATTAGATTATAAGATTGCATGAAGCTTTATGTGAATGTTCCCAACAACACCCAATACTCCTCATAAGCTCGGGAGTGTAAAAGTGTATGAATAAGATTTACACTAAATTCATTCAATAGAGATCAATTTAATGCTTGTTACTTGTTCAATTTCACAAAACAATTACGGATTTTGTAAAAGAGATAACTTGAATGACCTAACCCTAATTCAAATGGCCAATAAGAATCATAATTAGAATCAAACATTCGATTGAAGCAAAATCAAATTCATTAAATAGAAATTAAGAACAAACATCATGTCATATGAATGAAGTCACTACCAAGAAGTCAAAACATGAAATTGGAGAAATTAGGGTTCTAGCCACACATGGCTAGAACAAGATCACAAGAATAAAAGATGGAATTAAAGTGCAATTACAACTTACAAATACTAGAAATAATGTTTCCAAATGATTGCTAATCAAACCCTTGCAAAAACCTTTGAAAATCCTCCTCCAATGGTGCTCTGGTATGTTCTATTTTTCTCCAAATAACCCTCAACCCGTAATATGAAAGATAGGAAAACTGCCAAAAGTTGGTTTCTGGGTCGAACACGGCCCGTGTTAACATAGGCTAAACTGACACGGGTCGTGTTCAGCAACACGCCCTGTGTTGATTTGCACTAAACTGACACGGGTCGTGTTCAGCATGGTCAACAGCTCCCATTTTGGTCAAACACGCCCCGTGTACCTCTCTGACTCCAATTCCAAACTTGATTTTTCCAACTTTTTAGTTCTTCGCCGGATCATCCCGAAATCTCCACCAATGCTTCCCGACACTTCCCAAAGCGCGTTCCAACCTCCGGTTTACCTGAAAAAGATATAAAAGTGTGCAAATAAGGTTTTTCTAGAGACTAAAATGAATATGATAAAATGCAAGGAAAAGGAAGAACAATTTTGCTAAATATATGCATAAAATGGGACTAAAAGGTGTGCAAAAAGGTGCACAAATAGCACCTAACACATCGCATTCCCTTTTCTTTTATAAAAACCCTTTTAGAAGCTCATTTTCTTCTGAAAATTTACCAATTTTGCAGTTTAAGTTCAGACACACTCAAGAGTGTGCATGAATCTATCAAACCAAGGCTCTGATACCAACTTGTTACATCCCAAAATACTAAGTAAACATTTTGTTTTTAAGTCAACCAAAACAACCATTCATTTATTCCAAGAGGTCATCAAAGTAGAGAAATGTATCAAATATTTATCAGAGTACAAAACTAGTCATAAAATGTGAAGCATTGGTGAATGCGATACATTCACGTCAAGCTCTTCCCTTTGGAACTTGAGGTACCTGAAACATAACCATAAACTGTAACCACAAAGCTTAGTAATTTTGCCAAAATACCGCATACCATATATACATCGGGCCCGCCTAGCAAATAAGCCCCGCCAAAAATACATAATTGACCTCTCCCAACATACATAATATGCAAGAGTAACAAAGAAACAAGTAATTTAATAACAGCTACTGTCCTACAGTATAATGAGGAAACACACCTCAATCGATAACAGATAAGTATCACACATGAGCTACTGTTATGAGAACCTCCTCACACGATACATATCCAATACAACCCTACTTAGCAATTAAGGCGATAATCCATAATCAAGAGTCAATTACATTCTAGACCCTGCCAAACATCACCTAATGTCCCAAAGTGACTAAACATGCCTTCTGGTGCTATGCTCTACGTGCCTCATTCCTATATGCCCTGTGTAGAGGGCCTAATCATGAAAACTCAAAGCTACATCAGGCAAAGGATATTTTACGAACCGCGTAGACGCCAATAAGTCATTTTCCATTTTAGTTCTTAATTTGTAAAGACAACCCGTATAAATATCATATCTGGTCCTAATGAATGTTTAAAGTGATAAAGTTCCTAACTTTATGCCTTTGCATGGCTTAATGGATCTTAAGACCAAACCATGGTTCCATAACATCCTCTAATGATCTCAAACCCTTGCATGGGTGAAAGATAGCAACCGATATCCCATTATTATGACATGAACCTTAGAATCAACAAGAAATGACAAACTTAAGCTCTGGAGTAATAGTTACTCACAAACCCAAACTCATGGGACCAAAAGCATGCAAATCCATAACATATCCTAGATCTAACCTAAGGAATCATAAAGGTTCAAGCTATCGACCTTTTGTAGTTGGAAATGAGATGAAAGCTCTGGATCTTCAAGATTTAGCCACACATAACCGCTATGATAGACTCCTCCTTCTTCAAAATGCACCAAAAAGCACTAAAGGCTACACATTACATAATGGTACGCCTCGCGTAGGGCATTAGATGTCTGCGTCCACTCTCCTTTCTACATCCGGTGCAAAAAACCACCTACACATCATGTAGGACCATATTTTCAAGAATTTTATACTTATATCCATAAATGAAAAGTACCTAAGAAATGGGTGTTACAGCTTACGAGGAGTTTTTGGGCTTTGTTGATCCATTTTGGAAGAATTAGGTTTGGTGCATTGAAGACTTGGATGAGATTGACTTTTGAAAATGGATCATTAATACTTAAAGATGGGCTTGGACTATCAGTTTTGAAGCTTGAAGATGATTGGTTCATTTTGAATCATGTGAAGTGTGGAGGGACCAAGGGAATCTAAGATAGTGGGGTGGATTAGTGGAAGGAGGAACCAATAGCATTTCAACATTATTTCCGAGGGTAGGGTATCTACCCGTGCAATCGTGAGTGGGTACCTATGCAACTGCCCAACTAGGGGGTATTTTTTTGTCATTTGGCTCATGATTTACCTTAGGAATTAGGTCTAGTAGCACACACTTCGAATTTTCCACCATTGGAGCATCTTGAAATCGATTTTGGAGAGCTAGAGCTATCATCTTCTCATTCTTCTAGTAAGTGCTAATTTCTTGATGTTAAAATACTTTTATGATTATTGTCTGGTTGCCATGATTGGCTAACTCCTTTTTTTGGTTGACTTGGGCTAAAACCCATGGATATTTGTAGGCGTTGAAGGATTCATGTTTGATTGTCATTTATATAATGTTATTGATTCTTAGATCATAATTCTTATGCTTGTTTAATACTTTATCTTGAGCTTGGTACTTGATTGAGCAATTGTTGGTTCATTTCTTTGATTTATCAATAAATCATTGAATTTTCTTAGAATAATGGCTTTATGATGGTAGAAATCATCTCTAGCTTATGTATCATGACTCCTTTATGGATGTAAACATTAACATCCTCTCGGAATTAGAAATTCCTTCATTCTTAAGGCTAATAAATTGCTTCAATTGGGTGCTTGATTATGATTATGAAGGTGTGTTGTGGGCTTCCTTAACCTTGATACCACCTTTGAAGAATTATGGCATATTGTGCTTCATGATTGCTATAACCAATTTGGTGTGAATGATAATCTTACATATTGAATCCTAATGATAAACGCACAAATGTTCATTATGATGAATTGTCTTAGTTAACCAAGTCTCTCTGATATTTGAGAATCTCACCATCTTGCTTAATTGCAAGCATCTTAATTCTTCAAGTCGTTTATTTTTCAAACAATTCATAAAACCCCTTTTAGTTTAATTGTAGTTAGTTATTTTTTTACACATGTACAATTGGATTGCAGTAATGATTGAATACAACCATATCCCCATGGATCGATTACTTTTTTAATACTATATTACGTTTTATCTATAAGAAAATGAGTGTAATTTTCTTGGTGGATTTGACATCCCATCACTAACATACATCAAGAAACCACAAAAGAACACGATCAAGAAAAGCAATAACTAAATCCAGACATATGAACATGAATATGCTAAATCTAAACAGAAAATAAAGAACAAACAATGTAAAAGAAAGGAACACGGTCGATCAAGATGACTGACCAACAAATAACAAGATCCATAAGAAAAAATCTGAGAAAACCCTAAGTTTCTAATGATAGAAAACCCTAATTTTCCTATGAACAAAACACTGTAAAAAAGAATAAAAAATATACATATCAACGCCTAAAAACCTCACGAAATTCATAGATGATTTAAAAACCAATCAAGAAAACTTGTGTTCCTATACTATGTAAAACACATAAGAAATCAATATATGAAAATGTTTACAAAATAAACATCTCACTACATAATCCCTCATTCACTCACAAATGTATTTCTAGATCCATAATATATAAGTAAAGAAACTATATACATAGTGTCATAGTAAAACCATAGATATCATAATGTAGAAGATGGGATAATAAGACCAAAGAGAACTCAATGAAAGATAAACAAAAATCTCACTCGCACATACGGGACAAATAGACTCACCCCGTAGTTATTTACTATTGGTTCGGGTAAGATACGAGTCATGGTAACCCATGTTTCTCTTGGCTTCAACAATAAAAGAAACGACCCATAACCCATATATTTGCAAGATTGTGCAAGATAACTCCTTCCCCTTAAAAGCTCTTTATTCTACACCCTCCATGCACAACATACAAAACACCGCTGCTACAAGAGATATTTCATTTTAAGCCCTTTTATATGCAATCCTACACTCAAACATACGAAGTTAGAAAATATAATGCAAACCAGTGTTAATCTTGAAGAATTTTATTTATTTATACATTTTAACATATTTTTGGCGCTATTCACGTCTTACACAATAACCCCTTAAAGGAAGGGCCAAGAAAGGGGGACAACGGGTAGGAGAAATGGATGTTTGGGCTTTACAGGGGTTTGGGGTTGCTTATATTTTACAAGAGATACTTACTTATAAATCTGATCATCTTAGAGCGCCCAAGGAAGTATTAGGTACTATAATCTTTGGAGGAAGAATACCGACTCCCGAAGATGCTCCAGAATCTTTTTCGTCGTTCGTTTGAGAACTACTATCTTGTGTTCATCCCTTGGAGGGTTAATCATACGGGTAGAAGAGGATTACAACAAGGAAAAAAGCAGGCAAATCATACTTTCCAACAAATTGTAGCATTTGAAAATGTGTAAAGCAATTACTCAAAATATAATTGGAGGAAGAGATTTGCCTTTTGAAGACGCCCTCTCTCCATCCATGGAAGATGACGAAGCCAGTGACATACAGGAAAATGGCCTTTTGTCCTTTTCTGTTTCCTTGAATTGACCATTTTTTTTTATTCTGTATTTGGTAGAGGCATTGACTTGCAAACTCTTGATGCAATTTTATAGTCGTCAGCAAACCATCAAACATACATATCTAAATTAGACTAAACAACTTGGTTGGTTTGGTTTGGTTGCTAAACATATTCGTTTAAACTTGAGTTGATATATATTAATCTTGTACTAAAATTGTTATCTATATTAAAAATGATAAAAACAATCCATAGTTTCTTTGTGATGATATTTTTCTAGATATTTTATGTTAGAATCCTTTTATTTACAACACTTTTTCTGCTTTAAAGATTAAACCATAAAACCAAACCGAATCAAAATTTATCAATTTTATCTCTTGTAATCAAACATAATCAACGCATTTGATACAACCTTTGAACGACACAAAATCGTTTGAAGGGCCTTTGAACCGATGAAAAACCCTCCCTTATTTGAATTATTAAGAGATTAAAATGATTGGTATACTAACTTGTTAACTTTTGCTAAGAGTCCTAAATCATTCTCAATGATTCTAGAAAATACAGTATGAAAGGACTTGGTCTAATTGCGTTTACAAGCTTTTAAGTCCAAAGTCTTTAAGAATTCCTTTTATTTTCTAACCCCTCTTGCAAAATTTGAATGTTGTTTTGGCTTTATGATATTTTTCTAATGTCATTTGTTCAACGAGTAATTGTCAAATTCTCACTGTTCCTCCCACTCGCCTTCCCTCCTTCGTCTTATAAAATAAACACACGGAGTTTACTCAGCTATTCCACCACAAGTTGAACTCTCCTTCGTTTCAATTCAACTCCTTATACTTCTATCAACATGGGTGAAGCCAAGGTAAAATTTCTTCTGTTTCTTTCGATTTCAATGACACAAAATATTCAAAAAAAAAAAACACCTCAACTGATCATACTTTGGACTTGGATTGAGTTTCCAACTCTGTTTCTTGATGATCTTCTTGCATGTTCCCTGGTTCATCTCTTCTATTTTTACAAAATATGGAAAATCATACACATAGAGCCAAGAATTTGTCTCTTCTTTTCCTTCCATTTCAATCTTACTTCTATTTCTTCCTAGGTTTTACCTACTGTCAATGATTTCACAGAAAAACGTTTACTTTTTTCCCAAAACTCATCATCGTCATCTTCAATATAATCTGTTTTTGTATGCATTCTAGCCTCGTGTGTTATCATTCTTAACCTTAACTTTCATCTTCTTGTATTGACTTTCAGAAAGTAGTTGTGAAGGTGGGTGTACACGATGATAAACAGAAAAGGAAGGCTTTGAAGGCAGTTTCAAGTCTTTCAGGTTAATACTCTGTTTGTTTTGTTTTCATTCCACTACAACAAGTTTTACTAAACTCACAAGACTTTTACAGGGATCGAGTCCTTAGCTATGGACATGAAAGACAAGAAATTGACGGTGATCGGTGATGTTGATCCGGTTTGTATCGTCGGAAAACTTAAAAAACATTGGCACACAGAGATAGTGACCGTTGGACCAGCCAAAGAAGAAAAGAAGAAAGAGGGCGATGATAAGAAAGACGGCGATAAGAAAGACGGGGATAAGAAAGACGACGATAAAGATAAGAAGAAGAAGGAGGAGGAGGAGGCTATTAAAAAATGGGTGGAAGCTTATAGGGCCTATAATCCTTGCATGACACAGCACTACTGTGTCCAGAGTGTAGAGGAGTATCCCAATAGTTGTGTTATTTGCTGAGTTTTCGAAACTGTAAAAGAAAACAAGGATATACATGTATATCACTATAAGTTATTTTTCATCTCATATCACAATATCACAAAATAACAATGCCAACCGCCAAATACACCCTAGCGACTCAAGTATAAGACAAACAATCACGACATATAAAAGGTCCATTGGTGTCCTTATTAATTTTGTCATTGTTCTCGAAAACAATGCTCGAAGTCTCACTATAACATCAAGGTAAGGACATCAATGCAAGCAACCGATCCTTAATCCTTCTTGTTTGAGTACATTTAACAATCAACAAAGGATCAAAAATATACTATCAAGCAAGTTCATTTTGGAAATTTAGGCTATGTGGCAACAATGTTAAGGCTTTTTAGGTATAAATTGACAACGTTGAAACTAAAAATATAGTAGGGTTAGAATACGAACAACGCTATAGTTAAATATTTGTTCTTTGTAGATTGATTCCAACAGACGTATACGTGTGCAAGTGACACAGAGGTCAACTATATTGCTAATAGTAAGCGTATAGCGACACGTCATTGTCTATGAAGATACGTGACTTTTTGTCCCTTCAAAACATTCATTAATTTCTTAATGATAAAAAATCATCGACTTATATCCCTTCGTTATTACATCATTAAACATGAGTCACATATAAGTTCAATGTCATATAATTTCAACAACTAGTTTCTTGATAATATCAATCACAATTATCTGGCCACACACTTAGATTCATTCAGGGACCCAAACGATAGTTGACGATACTTGTCAACACTGATAACATATCTAATGCAACATGCCAAGCTCTAATACCACTTGTTAGGAAGTGAAAGAGATCATTTGCACAACCAATAGCACACAAGACACAATATTTACATGGTTTGGTCAAGGTGACCTACGTCCACAGGCAGGATGGAAGTATTCTTTATTTTAGAGCTCTCAGATAGAGGTTATAAGTACAATTACACAGAGATTTGCATATCACTCTAGAATTCAAGATATCAAATGACTTAGTATGTATCCCTATTTATACTTGAGGGATCAGACCTAAAACCCTAATGGGCCAAGCCCATTAGCCCATAGTCCCACGAATGATGTCAGCCAATCATAATTTGACATGCATCATCTTCAAGAACATTCTTCAATGTCATACAACCCATGAGCATCATCCGCATACATGATGGAGCACCTTGTACCATAGTGGAGCATCATGATGCACAAGTAGCGCCTCCTAAACACTAGTCGCCCAACATCCATCATGGTGGCACAACATGGTGTATTCCTTGAGCATCACCAACTTTTGAGCATCATATAGGACTTCATAACATACATGGCTCATCAGGTATATCATGGCTCATCAAGAGACCAAGATGGGAAAACATTTACGATGTTGGCCTATCTTTTGAAAGGATGGCGCAACATCTTTCATGTTAGGCTCAATATGTCCCAAAGGTGGCACAACTTCTCTTTGATGGCTCAAATTCTCCATGTAAGTCCAATATCTTCACTTGGCTCAGCGTATGCACGGGTTTACATCTTCATGGCGCAACATGTTGGACCATGTTGCTTCATGTTTCTCCAAGTTGCTCCAAAACCCCTTTTAGATGATCCATTCCTTTGGCACTTAATATGTTCCTTTGTCAGATGATCCAAAGCCATCTCAGACGATCTATTCCTTTATCACATGCTCCATGAACCTTAAGTGCTCCATTTAGTTCTAAGTGCTCCAAATACTCCATGAAAATGTTCCAAATGCTCGAGTCACATTTAAAAATCTCCACCTTGACTTGAGCATCCTTTGAACTCCACATCAAACACGAAATTTCTCTCCATTTCTTCCATCAATCCCCGAAGGGGATTACCTCCTACAACCATCAACCAAGTCCAAGTAAAGATTGAACTTCTCTTTGGGCAATGACCTTGTCACCAGACTTTTGAATGCATAACCTTTGATATAACATTATAGGTTTCTTCACCTTTAAAAGAAGACTCTAAATACAACTAATGAACTACTTTTCTCCAAATCACTTTCATGGTCCGAATCTATTAATCCAACCAAGTTTGTATGTTGTGTATTTTTACCATACACCATACAAACATCAAGCATTTCATTCAAGTGTCATAAGGTCCACTTCAATTCTTCCTGATGAGATTTTCCCCGAATTCCTCGAAACGCCAAAGAAGCACCAACATGTTTGGATTGATCACGATAGAACGCCCGTAATACTTTCTCAATACAGTGAGAAATGTATAAACATCTTGTTCTTCTATATATCCATATCTCTGTCCTTGTTATATTCTTTTCAACTCCTAAATCGTTCATCACAAGCTCAGTCTCCAAAAGTTTCTTCAAGTTGTCTTTCATGGCATCAACATCAGTAGACACTTCTTTCATAGGTTGATCAGTGGATTCCTCATGTCTATGTTTTTCCATGTTACCTTGTTGTTCCATATTTATCACAAAAATGTGTAGGGTTTCTGTTTCAAACTCCACCTTTTGGCTAGCACCTTGAGCATTCCCCCACAAAACTTGTACCACTTCTTCTCTTGTTATACATTGTAGATTCAAAAGTCACATCTCTGCTAATAATGAAATTTGGAGTCTTTCCTTCTTCTGTATATCATAGACGATGACCTTTCCTCCAAATGCATATACTAGAAATATGCACTTCATTGCCATCGAGTCCAGTTTACTATCATTCACACGAGCTTTAGCAGTGCATCCAAACATTTGTAAACCCAAATTCTTGGAGGGTTTTTCCATACTACACCTCTTGAAGAGCCTTATAATCAGTTGCAGTTGATGGAGATCTACTCACCTGATAGTAAGTAGTGTTGACTTCTTCCGCCCATAATTTCTCTGATAAATTTGCATAAAATCACATTCATTGAGCATGCTTCACCGGTTTCTTTCATCTGTTCTGCCACTCTGCTTTGTTGTGGTGTTAGTCGTACAGTGTGATGCCTCATTGTACCTTCTATTTTGTAAAAGTTATCAAATAAAGCCTTGCATAAATCCAACCTATTATATTATGAATGACCTGACATGGTTCTTGAGCAGTTTCTCAACCATTATCTTCCACTCCTTGAACCGCCCAAACACTTCATCTTCATCCTTTGTTTTCATAAAATACAAGCAGGTATTCCTTGACTAAACATAGATAAAACTCACAAAGTATTGACATCCACCATGAGTATGCATAGGAGAGGGAACCTATTGATCCGAATGTACACACTCGGGAATCTCCTTGCTTAAGTGTTGAACCGAGGCAAACTTCACCCTGCTTTGTATCTCTTGAACACAAGCTTCATCAGGTTTAGCATTTCCAGTTGCATCTCCACCAAACAACTCCTCCTTGCTCACATACTAATCCAAGGATTGGGATATAGTCACCTTTCCCCCAAACGTATAGCCATCCAAGATATAAATTCCATGAGGATTCATCTTTCCCTTCATAACTACAAGAGCACCCATGGAGACTCTTAACCAATCACCCTTTCCAGAATAGTTCAATCTATCCTTCACCAAAGTGCCAAGAGAAACCAAATTCTTTCGAAGCTCAAGGACGAACCATCAATCAAGTTTCCTAACTATACCATCGTGCATCTAGCTTTCATTGTGCTAGTGCCCTTGATATTGCTCACCCAATCATCACCCATGTTGAATGTTTCATTCCACTCTTTGAAAGAGTCGAAACCATTTACGATTTCATGTCATATGACAGGATGCTCCAGACTCCAAGACCCAAGCATCAGTAGAAATAGTTGTATATACAATAAAAAATTCACCATCATTTTGTCATCAGAATTTCCTCGAACCACAACAACATTGTTTTTGTTTGATCCAACACCATTATTCCCTTTATTTAGCAATGAACAGTATCTTATAAAGTGCCCCTTTTCCTTGTTGTAACACTTTATGTGGGCTTTAGATTCGGAATTTGACTTTCCTTTAGTTACCACCACCTCTAACTGATGTTCTTCATTTGCCTGCGAACAAACCAGAACTGGAAACTTCTTCTCCAATTAAAAAATTTCTTTTTAGTTCTTTGGACATCAAAGAATCTTTCACATCATTCACAATGATCATTTTCCTACCACATAACATGGTATCAACAAAATTCTCATAAGAATTCAGTAGTGAATATAAGAGGATAAGTTCTTGATTTTCAACTTCAATATTAATGTTCACACCTTGTAAGTCCAAGATGATCATATTGAAGTTGTCAAGATGATCCTTCACTTGGGTGCTTTTCGATATCCTAAGAGTATACAAATGTTGCTTCTAATACAGCCTATTCATAGGAGAATTATTTTGATACTTGTCACACAATTTCTCCCAAAACCCAGATGCACTCATTTAATCCAAGAATTCTCTCGGTACATCGTCTGTCGACCTCAACAAAAGAGTGTTATGCACTCTTGCAAGAATAACCACCTTCCATTTAGCCACCATGTCCTTTGGCAGTTTTGCTTCTCCTTCCAGTACCGCTGCACATCCTTGTTGAACCATAAGAGCCTTCATCTTCACTTTCCATAAAGTGAATTCATTTAAACTATTGAATTTCTCCAAATCAAACTTGTGAGTAGACATTTTCAATCATAGGAACACAAATCGTACCTCTGATTCCACTTGTTAGGAACTTAGTCGATACTTATAAAGACTCAAAATAGATCTGATGCCACATGCCAAGCTCTGATATCACTTGGTATGAAGTAAGCAAATAATTTGCAAAACCAAAATCATACAAGACACGGTATTTACATGGTTTGATCAAGTTGATCCACGTCTATGGGCTAGAGGGGGTATTCTTTATTTTAAAGCTCTCAAAAAAGCAGTTACAAGTACAATTAAATAGAGATTCGCCTATCACTATATAATTCAAGATACCAAATGAAATAGTATGAATCTCTTTTTATACTTGAGGAATTAGACGTAAACCCTAATGGGCCAAGCCCATTGGACCATATTCCTATAAATTGTGTCATCCAATCATGATTTTTCCATGCAACATCTTCTGGAGCATTCTTCCATGTCATACAATCCATGAGCATCAGCAACACACATAATGGAGCACCTTGTACCCAAGTGGAGTATCATGATGCACATGTG